CGGCAAGCAAAATTCTGGACGGTTGTTGTCACAGGAGTAGCAGAAGCAGCTTCCATCCTTGGGTTTGTTTGAGGGAGGAAAGAATCTAAGAGAACCAAAACATCGTCCTGGCATGTTGGAGAAAACATGCTAAAGCAATCCAATGCAGCAATGCATCTGCGATGTGAGACAGCAAGCGCCGATCGTGTGAAAGGGACAGCTCTCCACCAGCTGGAAGCTCATGATCGAACTGGCGAACACACACCAAGGTGAAGCGGGGTGACGACGCACCATGTGGCGTTGGCATGTCGCCAGGCACGCCGCCAGGCACGCCGCCAGGCACGCCACAGGTCCATCGGGACGGTGTCGGCGATCCAATTTGCTTGTGACACTAGGAGCAATGTTCGCTACCAGGGGCTCCTGGCCCTACTAGGAACAAGGGCATCGCCACTAGGAACAAGAAGCTATTAGTAGCTCCTGGCCATACTGCTAGTAACAAGAAGCTACTACTGTAGTAACAAAGGAGCTTTGTGGTCGTTGCAACGCGACCATATACACAAGTTGAGTTTTCGGTGATGCGTGCGTGTAGATGTGCGTAATTAGAGGGTGGAGAGTCAGAGAGTATGTGTGTATGCCTGTTGGTTTGGATTCCGCTCTGCAACTCGAGTTGACTTGGTGCACTTTGATGTTAACTGCTGAAGATTTGGGATGAAATTAACTCCCGCATTCCTGTCAAAATCCGGTGCAAAAAAGACTTCAAGCTCAATCATTTGTCTTCACCGTGCAAATCGAAACCATGCCTAGACTAAATCCAGACTGAGACGAAACGGCAAAACGAAAGACTTCAGATTTGAGGCCCCGGCAGCAAGACCACCAAGAGCAAGAGAGCCACTGCCCAGTAGCTGGTGAGGCGAAAAGCATACGGAACGGCCAAAACACCTGACACGGTGACGCGCAAAGCGAAGTGTCAGAGCGCACCCAAGCCCCTGAACATTTGACAGTGGCCGTGGCCCACTTTCCCGAGAAATTTTGGCTTAGGATGCATTCTAACCGGGCACCTTGGGCTCCCTAAAGAGGTGACAACATATTGAGGACACTGCTTACCTCTTCATCTCTCATCTTCAGCTGTATGCTTGTGGCCAAATGGCCGGCAACCGACGTCACGCTGTCACGTTCTCCCAAGTCACCATCACGTCTCTGGGACCCAGGGCCACTGCCCATCATGGTATTGGCCAAATTAAAAATGGTTTCGCAGCTGCTCATCTCCTGGGACGCGACTGAAAAGGAATCTATAAATATCTCTACTTGAGAGGAGGGAGACACGAAAGGTAGGACAGCGGGAAGAGAAGAGAACGCGAGAGGCAGGAACAAAAATGCAATGTTCGACATGGTGATTTATCCCCTCGGAGGCGACCTTTCGTAAATATATGTTCATATGCACTCTAAATGTTCAAACATATGCTCTCGAAATGTTCAAAAAGATTCTTAGGAAAACAAACTTGCCCCATGGCTCAGATCATCGGTGAGCATTGAATCGGAACATCATAGGATTTGAACTATCCTGAAACCATAAGAGGCTCACGAAGACGTTCCCAGGAGAGAATTGACGTGCTTCACAAAACAAACTCTAGGTATGTATCCCCTCGGGGAACACCTTTCGTGATTAGAATTTCATATGCACTCTTTCTGAATGTTCAAGAGGGTTTCAACTATTCTGAAATCATGAGAAGCTCACGAAGACGTTCTCCAGGAGAGAATTGAATTTAGTGGGGGGGAGGGGGGGGGGTCTGTATTGAAAAATCAATTCCAAGGGGGGGTTGAATTGAATGATCAATTATTAGACCCGGACGCGCCAACACTTGCTTCGCAAGACAAACTCAAGGTATCCCCTAAAGGGCTACCTTTCGTGATAAAGTACTTCCTGCGGGTTTCGCGGGAACCAAACAAACAGAAGCGTGAGCTATCCTGCGTCCAGTAGCTAGTAGCTTACTTAAGCTACTAGCCTTGCTTAATTAAGTAAGGGCGGGCTTAAAAATAAGACATAACTACGCGCCTACTCCAGTGCCAGTGTATATCGGCATGAGAAGGAAACTGTGCTAAGTCCATTACCATCCAAAGCCGCATCCCATTTCCGAGGTTTAAGTGAAGTATGCTGTCTCTCGATGACTTCAGAACAGTTTCCGAACCCATCAGTAGACTAGGACTCTCGGGTCAAAGGCGAGACCCGACTGAAGTCCCCTGTCACGTTGAAACGGAGTGACGAAACGACAGTCCGACTGCGAGGTCTGTCCTCAGGCGCTATATGGCGCTTTCGTCACTTCCAACACATGCGCTTATGGCACTTTGGTACCATTTTACACCAAACTTGCAAAACTCTAAAGGACACTATGCTGCATATCTTTCGCCACCCGTCTATATGGTCCTCGCCCTCGCGAGAGGCATCCACAGGTTCGGCCACTTTCGGTGCCAAGACAAGCTCTGGCACCTCCTGGTTCTCAGACCTTTGCGCCGCGAAACCAAGATCTTCAAGAATGCAAGATCTTCATGTGAACGTTCCTTTGTACTGTGATGACATGTGTGCTTGTCTGCTTTTCATGAAGCCTGATGGTCAAACGAATTTTGCAAACATTTGCAAACTCAATCACAAGTCTTGGTCTTTGAGGGAGTAGCTCAAACGTATCTGCACTCTTGAGCTGCTTCTGCTTGGTGGGTGCTTGAAGCGGCGTGGGTGCTTGAGGTGGCCAAGGTGCTTGAAGCGGCGAGGCGGCGTCATCCGCACATCCTGTCCTCAGAATTGCGAAGTCAACAGACCTTTAAAGGGAAGTAAGTAGTCAGGTAGGTGCGTAGGCAACGGAGGTCAGGTAGGTTTGGTTCCAAACGGGAAGTGCAAACTTGTCTCGACAGAGATGAACTCAATGCCCAACGCCTAAAGTGTGAGACAAGACGTGTCAACGATTTGACAAGAATCTTTTCTTACCACACAACCCCAAATCACTCGGACCATCTCAAACCAGTGAAACCGTCTCTCCAACCCAAACTCTCAAATCTGAAGAGTCTTTCAAGCGTAAGCTATCCAGCTATCCATGTAGATGCCTACTCAATTGAGGGACGGGCAGAGCAGAAACAGCCGAGCCGAGCAGCGAGAGCCCGTCAAAGAGCGCCAGGTGATCGGCTCGCTGCGCGACGGCGACGCCGAGCGCCGGGGCCTGCGGCACCGAGATCCGAGCACCGAAAACGAAGACGAAACGGCATCGCTACTAGGAACAAGGACGCTACGAACGGGGCTCCTGGCCGTACTACTATAGACCTTTTTCTTGTTTTTTCTGTCTTTCTCACTACAATGGCCTGCAACCTACGAGCGATGGCCTCCAAACGGTTTCTTTATTCTTTCTTGGCCGTTGTTTCGTTTCCTTTTTATTTTTGACCTTTACTGTAGACATCCTTAGACTCTTTCTTTAAACCGACACCTGCTTTAGACGTCTAACACAAGTGTTGCTCCGAAAATTGAATCTGCTGGGCCCGTGTTTTTGGAACACCGCATGGCATATTGACATTGCATAGTCCACGAGTAGTTCTCTGAAATCTCTGAAACAATCAAGTGCACTCTATTTGCCGAACTTGGTCAACTGCGTACTGGTCATGGATGGATCAAAGGCATTAAAGATCTTTGTCTCCACACAGCCCTGCCGAGCATCGTGCCTGAAGAGCCTCGGAGTGCTATCAGCCTGACCAATCACGCTATCACGACACTGAGGGTGTCTCTCGAATTTGATTCAACAAACAAACATGCTCCAAAAAGAGTGTGACCAGCATGGTGTCAAAACATGTCAGAATACCATGCATCAAAAGCCAAAACAAAGACATGGGACAGTGTGGCATCTTGGCAACTACACTACGTCTCATTACCAGGTATTGGCGCCACTCATCTGCGGAGAAACTTGCAGCATCAACCACTCTTGTTCATGGAATTCGAATACCCGGTGGTTCCTCATGCTTCCTCCTGAACATCTTCCAGCGACATCCCGACAGTCCCTACGACTTGTTTAATCGTTCACATGATCACTCCCCACCCAAATCACAAAATAATCTCATCTGGAGGAACAAGTGCATCGCTTCTAGTAACAAGTGCCTTACTAGTAGTAACAAGAAGCTACTAGGGGCTCCTGGCATCGCTACTAGGAGCAAGGACGCTATTAGGTTGGAGGCCATCGCTATTAGGTCCCCTCCGACCCCATCCGATTCTCTTTGCCTGAAGCGGCTCATCCAGGGAATTGCTCATGTGAAAGGCTGGTTAGACGGTTAGACGGTCGAGAGACTTGGACGGATAAGGACTTTCCCAAAGGGATGGACGAAGGTCGATGAGGATGGCTGGTGTGCCTTGAACAAGCTATGCCACCGAACCGTGGGCCAGGAGCACCGTTCGTAGCGTCCTTGTTCCTAGTACCATCTAGTACCGAGGCCCTTTGTTCCTAGTAGCGAACATTGCTCCTAGTAGTAAGGCCAGGAGCCCCTAGTAGCGTCCTCATCCTCTTGAGGAAGGTGGTGGAAGCTGCGCAAAAATAAGGTGGGAGTGACACGCCTCTTGGGAAAGAAGGAAAACAGGCCCATTTGATACAAGAGAGGCTTTGAGACTTTGAGCGCGGCTTGAAACAGCCTTCGCCATCCACCGAATGTGAAGGATATGTTCAAACCTGAAAATCCTTCTGCTCATTTCGGCAAATATCCAAACATGTTTTCCTTACGACTTCAATCATGTCTTTCGTTCCTGTCTCTTTGGGCCAAAGCGCTGGCAACAAAAAAGCTCGGAGGAAGCACACGGGTCTGATCTGCCTCTCTTCACCTGAGAACGCCTCACAGCTTCTCTAGGACTGTAGGTTTCGGATTCTCTTATTCTGGAAACTACTCGATGTGTGCGAGGCACAACAGCTCAACATAGCATTTTATCAGTTTGACTGAATCCTGCAACCTGCAACTTAGGCTCTTAGGATCCCGGAATTTGTGAAGTTCTGAGCTTCCCGGACTTCCAACAGCCAATGCAACGCCTTCTGCCAACTTTGGGCATCACCGTAGCTCACCACCACGGCTGCGGGCAGGGGTCCAGGGTTGGTCCGAGAATCACGCGTCAAAAACCCGACAACGACTGCTGAGCTGAGTTGTAGCTTATTCCCAGTCGCCAATGTTCACTTTCCCTGCCTTGATAAAGACGTCTGCTTGGGCTCAACTTGGCTTCCTTGACCTCAAGATCCCACCCAAGTCTAGTAGCTTCTTGTTGCTAGTAGTAATGCCAGGAGCCACTAGTAGCTTTTTGTTACTAGTAGCATTCTTGTTCCTAGTAGTAAGGCCAGGAGCCCCTAGTAGCGAACATTGCTCCTAGTAGCGATCCCCTTTGCTCGTAGCTTCTTGTTACCTTGTTCTTGTTACCTTGTCTGATCTTGTCTGTCCTGTCAATTCCCGTGATCACATCGATCCCCGGCCTATCGAACTTGCGACCCAACACCGAGAGAAAGAGCGCCTCTTCCAGTAGTCTTTCCACACGAAGAGGAGCCGCATCCCTTATGCAAGCGGAGGCGAGGGCTTACTTGCACCGTAGCAACAATGTGTAAAACTGCAGTCTTCATCTAGAATTGATAAAGCCCCTGCAAGAATGAGAGTGAAGCAGAAGGTCAGTACAGTGGAGACATCACGAGCGAATACTTAGCTTCTTCAGGGTCTCTTTGAGTATAAGCAAAAATTATAGGGTACAAAACGATACAAAGCAAACATTTTTGAGCACATTTGAGTACTATATCAATGTGGCTAGTCACATGTTGCCTCCTCAGTCTCCATTCAGAGTCCTCCAAGGTTTCAACCTACATCGCTCTGCCGCCTCCTCGTAGGCCTCTCGTGAGCTCGAATAAGTCCGGTCTTGGCTTGCAACTGTCTGGATCCATCCATGAAAATGGTTTCTAAACAACACATAATTAGATTCATAATCAATATTACACAAATAGTTATTGATCACGCAATTCTTTGCCCAGTTTTGTCCAAACGTTCGCTTCATGGCTCAGCTCTGTCCTCTATCGGCACTGCGCGGAGCTGCTGTGCCTGTTGCCGAATCCGATTTGCTTCAAGGTGGCTGCCAGGGTTGAACACTTTTTTGTCAAGGAAGCAAGGACGCTACTAGGGGCTCCTGTTTCCACCAAAGAAAGGATTTTGAATCGTGAACATCACCTGGTTGAACTCTCCGTCTATGAGTGCCTTTCAGCCAGCCTTTAGCATCCATCAACCTGTTAGAATCTCGGCACGCACTATGTTAATATGAGAATGGCATCACCTCACCACCTGCTACTGATTTGGTCCATAACTACACCCAAAAGTACTACTTATGTCAAATCAATAGCAAAGACTATCTATCTATCTATATAATATACACATGTATCATTAGTTATATCTATATAACTACAATGTAACAATCAATATCCCACCTCGGCGAGCAGTCGAATAGCATCTTGCCATGTTGCACCGTCCTGAAACATACAGGGCATCGCTGGGCCGACTTAACTAGAACTTTCGCCAGGGTGGTCTTGCGGAAGGCTCAGTGTGATTGTCGATTGTCCGCTTTCATTAGAAACACAGAATTTGTGAACGCATTTATATCGAACCCCAAGATAGAAGGATGCATCAAGGTACGCAAAAGGACACAACATAGAGAAGGTAAATGACTGTAGGACCAGGACATGGAGTGGAGGTGCCACCGCTTGACAGTGGACAGCGATTGTTGTAATTACCTCAATTTACAAGGACCTTCCAGAGTTGTTTGAGGGCACACTCTTTGACAAGTCTCATTCACATTCTCTTTTTGCAGGGTATGAGGTAAACGTCCTTGTCGCAGGGTTTTGACACGTGGACAATGGTTACAGATTACAATGGATGGACTGTGGCCTCTTTAAGCTGATCATCAAATGAGTGTTTTCAGAAAATAGCGCCCTTACTACTAGTAGAGCATGAAGGAGCTAGAGTATGGCACGTCATCCCCTGCCTCCTGTGGCAAAGCACGAACCTGCGACCAAAGAGTGAAACTTTCTCGAAACGCTTCGGTGAGCAAACAGTATATACTTTGGTGGAGGAATCGCATCAAGTGTCCAATTGTCCTTGGTATATATATAGCTAATATTTACATAAATTTATATAAATCGATTTATGGTGTTAAAAGTGCAACCATATCAAGCAGAGAGCCGATTGTAGATGACTGCCGGGCAGCAATCTAGTGATGGAGAACTTTCTCTACCAGTTTATTGCAGCTCAAAACGGGCCCCCTCAAGAAACCTCCGACTTCCATTGATAGATCTATTTCCGAATCCAAAACTGCAGAATCAGAAAGGCTCTCGATTTCAACAAAAGCACTTGAGTTATATTGCATTGATATTCGCGGTGTCAATGGCCCAAATGAGCAATTGAAACCTTGCGCTTGGTTGAGCAGATTTGCCTACGAGTAGCGAATCATTGCGCTCGCGTTGCGTCCCCTATAGGTCCCAATGCCGCACAAGAACTCTTTTTTGGTTCTATGGAAAAGCGCTTGAATCCCCAAAAATGGTTGAGCTCTTAACGCGTGCTTGGTCTCCAAGAAAGTGCCCATCCGCAAAGAGTGATGAAAAATGGTTCAGGCTGAGTGCGCCGGACTTCTATGAAAGGCCGTCGAACTCACTGACCAACTGCCGAACTCCGCCGGGTCTCTGCGCCCCTCCCGTTCGAGCGCCTGGGTCCTCCTGCGCTCTAGCTGCGGACTTCCCAAGCCACACCTAAACTTTAGAACGTCGAACACTTGCGCAAATATGATTGACGCTATCCTGATAACATTTATCAATTAATATCAATTAATGCTTCTGGAAAGACTTCCACCTCGTGACCTCGTGTTTCGAAAAAACGGCGTTGCTCCACCTCTTCCTGGGGACAACGTCGCTGGATCCGTCTGCCTCGGAAAGACCGAGATTCGACGACAGAAATCCAAAAGACCTCCAGTGAAACATTTCCGCAAAGACCTTTTTCATTAAAACAAAAATCGCCTAGAAACACGGGTGCTAAGGGGTTTAGGTCTTAATATGTTGCTCGACCACTAAGGAACGGAGTTTTCCTGCTTCTGCAATCCAGCCACATAGGTCAAACATGAGTTCCATGGTTTGGGGAGACGGGGGTGCTTGTTTGACACCAAACACCCGACTCTCCAGCCTGCCTCTTGGTGTCGAAGCACTATGCAATGCCACCTTGAACCAAGTTGACGTGAAGATCTCACAACGATACCTTTTAAGAACTAGGTGGCCCAACTCATGTCTCACACAGCAAACGAATTCAACATCTTTCAGCCCCGTTGCATGTTTCCACTTGTCCATGGCGCACGTCCACAGTTGCAAAGCGCAGAAATGACAAAAAAAACAGGTGAGGCTATGGGTGTGGAAACGAGCAAAAAATTGGTTCATCTTTTTGCAAATGACAAAAAAGCCTTGGCAAACCTGTTCGACCTCATACTGACTGTCCATAGATTTGTTAAACCTTCTCTTGTCAATGTGGTGCGCCCTTTCAATAAGTGGCACTGTGTTTGTCATGGCAAACTTTGCAGTGAATATATATCCCTTCATACTCGCATATTTCGAAGCTTGGTTTCAATCTTCTTCCAAACCAAGTCTTTGCTTCCGAACAAACGTAGAAACCTTGGTTTGCAATAGTCTGCTAGATGTCTGATCACCGCATCTCTTCAGACAAAGTACTTGCAGATGCAACTTGATGCCTGTGAGCTGCCGATCTTGCTTGTATATGGCTGCGGCACAGAAACGGCAACAACAATAAACCAACGGGGTTAGAAGCGGTTATATCCTTCAATAAAAACGCTGGCGTGGAGATTGTCCAGGCAAAAAAGTTGGACAACATCTCGAATGTAAAGCCGCATAAACACAGCGACAAACTGAAACTCTTCCACAACACGTGAAATCACTAATGTTATTTTATTTCTTTTCTTTCGGGGCTGGTTCACACACATAGCCAGTAGCAGTTACAGGCATCCATCGGATTTCTGTTTTCATTCGCACGGTCGAGCCGAAAAGCCTTCCATACTGAATGTCAATATTTGAGGAATAGCCCGTTGTGACTTCCAGCTCTGAACGGATTCGAGCCATCACCCGGCAACGACACCGTGAAAAGTGGATGCGCGTGTTGCCTCACCACAGTGAAAACAACAACGTATAGATCATTGTATATCACTCTTTTGGAACACAACAACTACTGATCTTCGCGGCCCGAGTACTGTTCAGAACACCCGCGCCCTACCATCAAGGCCATGCAAATAGACAACTGCATGGACATTGCTCTGGAATTCCCTGGGGTACTGGAGTACCACTTGGAGTACCAATACACATCCCGACCCCTCCAACCAGCAAAGCGTTGTTAAGGCCTGCCAGCAGTATGGAATGGCTTCCGCGCTCCTTTCACGCACCTCTGCATCATTCGACATATTCGTGCTTGCCCCAACAAGTCGCGCCGCTTTCCAGGCTGGAAAGCCTCATGCCTCTTGCCCCAAAGCGCGCCATTCCTTCCTCAAAATCATTCATAGCTCTTCTCAGTCAGTTGCTGAAACAAGCGGCAAGCCGCGCAAATTTCATAACGCGATTCGCTACGCTTCCAGATGCGACGATCCGAGCGATATTGCACTGCCCGGGGCCAATCGAGCATGATGGTTGTCCTTGACGGGTGTGGCTATGTCGTGATTGAGCAGCTGCCAGTCTGCGATGGGTCAAAATTTGTGACCACGACTGAGGCGCCCCAAACAGGAGCCCCGCTGCGCGTTAAAAAGCGGGCGCTCAAAACTCCAAGAGGAACGCATCAGTTCTCTGACCGCATCCTACGGAACATGTGACCACTGTTGCACTAACAAGTCCTCCCCACACACTGACACGTCGGATGCCGTCATCCGTTTTTTCAAGAACCCTATAACGCATAGAAAGGTCTTTCCACACGAAAGGAAGAACGCCTGCAAAGACCAATCAACTTGAGGCGCCGCGCGTCCAAAGGCGTCAAAAGCGCGCACCCTTCTAAGATCACCCCGACCCCAAGCCCCAAAGCAATGAAAGCGGCGTGCCCAACTTTCTCCAATTACGTCGGGGAAGCGTGGCCCATTCCAACACCACGCCCAATAAGCGGTCGGATATGATTGCTCTGGATCTGCCAGCGACGCCTTGATTGGGTTCTGCTTTGATACGCTCTCAACTCCACGTGCTACATCGAAGCGCTTCATCTCGAGGTCTTTCATAAGGTTGTGCGCCGCCTCCTTGCGTGTCCGGGCGCCACAAAATTGCCGGCGCCGGGGCAAGCAAGAGCCTGCCGTAGCCCCAAAGGCATTGGCACCAAAACAACGTTGCACGGGCAGCAGGCTGAAACAGGACGGGTCTGGCAGCAACGTAGCTCAACGCATGCCTCCTGCCACGCATCCTTCAAATAAGCTGTGAGTATGTGCACGCGTATGCAGTTCGCCCCGCGACACACGCCTCCAGTTAGATGGATGTTGCTCCCATGGCCGCCATCTTTCACGGGCTTGCTCAGCGTGAGCATATCCCCTTGCAAGGGACCACAAGTCCCTCTTCTAGCTGCGCTTGTCCGGCCACTTTAAAAAATATCAATATATATTTCAAGCGCCAACGAGCACCGCGAGCAGCCAGGACCAGCAGGATCGGTTTTTGCTACGTGGGAAAGCTGGTGAGGTGCACATTTTTGCGGTCAACTGCCCAGTCCCGATCCAGAGCGCGCGACGTACTCATAAGCGCCGCATGTGGACGCTGAGAAGCCCTGGCGCATCGCATCCAAGGAGAGCTGCGGATGAGTGATCGTCTGGAGCGAAAGCACCATTATGACCCGGGCTACAGCAAAAGCACCGGACCCCAATGATGATGCCACAACAGCTTACCGGCAGGAACAAATCTGTGCAAACACGCAGGGTCTCGCTCACTGCCGCCAAGAACCATTTCCAGCACTTAAAGCGAGTCCAATGACAAACGGAAGCCCTCCCAGAAGGCCCATGGCGACCCACAAAGAAAAGGACAGGCCGTCCGATCTTCGACCACCGCGCTCATCAAACAATTTATTGAAGACGCTGTCAAAAGAACGCATCGCGACCAGAAGGTCACATAAGGGTGTTTTTGCTTAATGAAAGGCATAGTCCGAAGAACATTGCATGTGTTGATGACCAAAGCCGAACGCATCCTCTGCTCTATGTCGCTCTATGTGTCTTGCAATTATACAATTAAGGGTGCACGTTTATTTCGTTTTTTCGTGCTATTCGTGATTTTTAAAAAACCCTTGGGCTCACAATTTGCTGCTATTTACGGCAACCTAGTGTCCTTTTAAAGGAAACGTACTGCGGACACAAGGGAGAGTGAGTGGCTGAGCTTGAAAGAGAAACAGTCTCGGCAGTGGGGCTGACACCCAAGAGAAACAGCTGTCGCAGCAAGCAAAGTGCGTTGGAAGCAGTGCAGATTTCGCGTTGGTGGCCGGTGCAGTGGAGCGTGGACGACCTTTAAACAAATTGTGGTGCTGGAGGGAGGTTGGGGGAAGGGCGTGCGCTTGGATGTTTTTGTGCGCGGCTGCTTGTGTCGTGGTTTCTTGCTTCTCTGAATTTTAGTGGTGTTTGTTGAGGTTGCCTCGCTATACTCACTTCCGCGAACAAACCTCACCTCACTTGCGCAAGCGATGCATGTTGCTACATTGGAAGGGCACCTTCCTAGTCTAAATTTTGCCCTCGGGCCCTGCCTGATCTAAATCTTACAATCGCGTGGCTCACGGAAGGTCTGCTACCTTGCAATGGCCCCTCCCTCGTCTAAATTTTATCCTCCGGTGGCTTACAAAAGGTGGGTGGCAAAAGGTCTGCTACCTTGGAATGGCTCCTCGCTGTCACCTACATTTTGGCTCTAATGCGTCTTGTAAGCACCACATGCAAGCAGCGCTGTACTTCAAGGTTTTCCCACCAACACTGCAAAACAACCATGACGTACTTGAGCGCAAAGCGTATTGAAGCTTCTTTGTCTAATGTGTTTGTGTAGCTAAATAATATATTAGACGCACAAGTGTGTGCAAGATAGTGCAAACCGAACAGCAACAAGTGCAGCACAGTAGACCAAACAGAGCAGAAAAAACAGCAAAGCAACCAAAGCAACAAACAACAAACGAGCCGGAAAAAATAGCAGCAAAAACAAAAGTAAACACCAAAAGCAAAAGACAAAAGCAAACAATCAGCAAAAGCAACAAATCAGGAAAAGCAAAAGCAAAGCAAAAAACAGCAAAAGCAAACAAGCAGCAACAGCATATGAAATGTTAAACATATTTTAAGATTTGGGTGAGACCACATCATTCATCTTTAAAAGCAGCGTGTACCACCTCAGCGGGCATGTGGTTGGCATTTCCGGTGAGAACTCACGGTGAGGACTCGGTCTGGCTTAGATCCGTGCAATGACCGAAGCCAGAACAGATGCGAGCGAAAGCCCGAGCACCTGACAGGCCAGCATGGTGAAGGGAATCGAACCAAACCCGAAAGGTTGGGGGCCATCGCTAGTAGGTTGGAGGTCTTGGATGCCATTGC